AGTTTGGAAAGCAAAAAGAGGGTTAAAAAGCTACATCCTAGCTATTGCCAGAGTAAATCTTACTTTAGTCTGGCAAGTTTCTGTCTATAGGTAAAGAATAAAGGAAATTATTCATAAGTAACACCATGCGCCATACAAATATTCTATAAAATCCTAAACCTTTTTGAAGTTGATTTCCTTCAGACATATTGGGAACTTGTTTCTATTAGAGAGATGGATGTTGATGTCCAGCACGTTTGGAAAAAATGTAATTTGGAAATAGCAGCTTTGCATTACATTATTTCACACAATCATTTGGTGATGAAAGAAAGCTGTTTCTTCCTCACACTCTTCTTCAAGTCAAGTACGCTGTGACACACAAATTCTATAGGGCTTAGGTGTCATAGACAGTCCGTATACTGGCGTTATATCTAGCTGATCTTCAAGAGGTTTCTCCAGTCTCAGCTGCTGCAAGATAGTAGTGAGGATAATGAAGATCTCATTATGAGCTACTTCTTCTCCCAAACACTTTCGGAGCCCCATTCCAAAGATCAGAACTTTTTCAACCAAGTTCTTGTTGAGTTCACCATTTTCATTCAAAAATCTCTGTGGTTTAAATACATCAGGGTCTACCCACAGGTTTCTGGAAGAAATAAACAAGGGTAGAAATAAAAAGGAGAAAACTAAAATAAGATAAAAATGAAAAGGGTTCACATAGCCACCAGTACCGTAAATGCCGGCGTACAAGGCGACCCGGCGTATAAGACGACCCCCGTCTTTATAGCCGGGCCACATTCCTAGAATGTCGTCTTGTACGCTGGAAACTACCAGTATTTCCGGCGTATAAGACGACTCGGCGTATAAGACGACCCCCGTCTTTGGCGCCGATTTCAGCGCTTGCGGAAGTCGCCTTATACGCCGGCATTTACAGTATATTTCAATTCATTTCAAAAATTAAATCTACCAGACATCCACATCACTTTATTGTTATCTGAAAAAAAAGAAAAGCAGCACCCTCGTAGCTGTCTATCAGAAGGGAAATGATTAAAATGTGCAAGACTATGTCATAATGCTGTGACTTATGAATTTGTATTGCAACTCAGGTACACAACGGTGGCATCTATATAATGTCATCTTGTATGTTCATCAATAGTGAAAATGAAAAGTCTTGCTAGGACAGTGTTTCTCAACCTTGACAATTTTAAGGCATGTGGACTTCAACTCCCAGAATTCCACAGCCAGCAATGCTGGCTGTGGAATTCTGGGAGTTGAAGTCCACATGCCTTAAAATTGTCAAGGTTGAGAAACACTGTGCTAGAAGAACCAAACAGCATTACTACCAAGGAGACACAGGCAAAACTCTAATACCTAAATCCACGCTTCCTAACTTAATGCCTAACACTTGAAGCTTGGGGGAAGGGTGATCTAAATAGCCTCTAAAAATCAACCATCACAGAACTGAATGAGAATCATCTAGCCACAACCTCAAGGGTCATCTAAAAGCCTTTGAACATGACTTTCTATTTGCAGAGCTTGAGATGTCCAGAGTTTTCCTCCCTACAATTTCTTTCTCATGGGGAAAAGAGATATTGGATCCTGCAGGAAAATAAATGTTTTCGAAAGAATTGCATAAAGGAGCTTCAAAAGATGAATGTGTCTGTACTCCAATGGGTTACAGAACCAACTGAGAAAATACATTTGGTATGCTTTAAAGTGGGGTGAATTTGATTTCTGTGAAGAAGTTGTGAGGTTGTGGAGAAAAATATGCATTGCAATTTACTGAGCAAAATGGCAAGTGCCATCATCTGAAATTTAACAAATATCTGTACAACCATCCACAGAGGCACCAGATGTATTGCCCTTGGGATATGTTATTTTTCTGGGCTCAAAGATCACCTCTGATGGGGACTGCAGCCAAGAAATTAAAAGACGCTTGCTCCTGGGGAGGAAAGCTATGGCAAATCTAGACAGCATACTAAAAAGCAGAGACATCACCCTGCCAACAAAAGTGCGTATAGTCCAGGCCATGGTTTTCCCAGTTGCAATGTATGGCTGTGAAAGTTGGACCATAAAAAAGGCTGAGCGCAAAAGAATTGAGGCCTTTGAACTATGGTGATGGAGAAGACTCCTGCGAGTCCCTTGGACTGCAAGGCGTTCAAACCGGTCAGTCCTAGAAGAGATCAACCCCGACTGCTCTTTAGAAGGCCAGATCCTGAAGTTGAAACTCAAATACTTTGGCCACCTAAGGAGAAGGAAGGACTCACTGGAGAAGGGCCTAATGCTGGGAAAGATTGAGGGCAATAGAAGAATGGGACGACAGAGAATGAGATGGCTGGATGGAGTCACTGAAGCAGTAGGTGAGAACTTAAATGGACTCCAGAAGATGGTAGAGGACAGGAAGACCTGGAGGAACGTTGTCCATGGGGTCGCGATGGGTCGGACACAACTTCGCAATTAACAATTAACAACAACATGTTATGACTATTATTATCAGAATGTCCATACATGAAGTTCAGGAAGTAGCTAAAAGTGGGTCATTAAGTCCTCATAATTGTTTAAATAAAGTTATTTCCTGCAAGTATAGGATCCTTTTCCCCCCTCAAAATCAATTAAAGCAGTGGTCTTCAAACTTGGCCCTTTTATGACTTGTGGACTTCAACTCCCAGAATTCCTCAGCCAGGCATGCTGGCTGAAGAATTCTGGGAGTTGAAGTCCACAAGTCATAAGGGCCAAGTTTGAAGACCCCTGAATTAAAGCGTTGATCCCTTTGGTTGCCACAGGAGTTGGTTGACCAGCGTATTGTCTGAGTCTGATATTGTGGGCTGAGGGTGAATGACTGGGCCAAAGTCATCTAGCCAGTTTTCATGACTATGCAGGATTAGACCTTACAGTCTCCTAGTTTCTAGCCTGGTATTTTCACTGGACCAAACTGGCTCTCAATAGGTTTGTAAGCTACAATAGTAATATAAGGGGGAAAAACACAGTAACAAGTCTAATATCATTATTGCTATTATTTATTATTATTTATTATCATCATTATCTTCTTCTAATACTTACTCATCATGATTAACTTGATACATATTAACGAAGATACAGGTATTTTGTGGGATATAATACCCATTGAGAACAGTATCTTTGGTAGTACTAGAAAATATTAAAAACAACAGTATTTAATCCTGGATTAGCACAATCCTTTAACATTATTCCACAATGTTTTCAAACACCTGAACAAAATATCCTTGCATAAATGTAGAAAGATATGTATTTTTCTACTGGAGGTACGGTCTTAACCCTTTCTAGTTTTTTTATCATATTGTAAGTTACTCAGTCTCTGTAACAGTGACATGGATAGCATATAAATGTAATTAAATAATTAATATTTCATTTTATAAATTGAAATACAAATGGCAGCATCCTTTCTCTTCTTGCCATGGTTATTGCATTCTGTGGAAATTCAATAATAGCAAAAACAGTTCATCTAACATCTCTTTCCCTTTCTTTAACAATATGAAATCTCACGTTATAGGGGATTTTTGTGTCAATGCCACACAGAAAATCAAATTACAGTACTACTAGCAGAAGCTGCCTACAATGTAAACAAACCCGTTCCTCAATTCTCCTTCTCACCAGTGAGGAATGGTGAATGGAATAAAAGAGCTGTGCCTGAAGACTTCATTGATGAAAGCTTCTGTATAATGCAAGTCTTTCCGGTCTTCAAACTTTGGAGGCCTTAACCCAATCTTTCCATCTTCAAAGAATAAAACAGAACTTATTTAACACAAACTATTTCATAACAGCAGTCTTCAATCTTCATATTACAACAGAACTCAATTTGATGTTCCAGTTGGACAAAAGGGGCGGCCATTATTCCTATTAAATCTGAGTATGTAATTGTAGTGATTGATCCAAGTTGTATGTTGCAAGTTATATCATTTGCAAATTGAGATCATTACACAAATGGAACTATTATTTGCATCTTTACACAAACTGAAATTGCTCCAAACGTTTGCTCGACTGAAGTGGAAATTCATTTAATGGTAGTCTAGTAAACTAAAGTTTCACAGCATGATATATTCTATTTATTTTAAATAACACGAAAGCGTTACCAATTTCTTCTTGAATTTTCATCTGAATTTCTGGGTTGTTTATCAGGTACAGAAATATCCATTGCAAACACGGTGAGAGTGTAGCAAAACCTGGAAAAGAAATGAAGCAACGTTAGAACTTAAGTATCTGAAACCTGGGCACTGAAGCTTATAACTGAAATGTACATTGTGTTGGATATGTTCGCTGTCTTGATTTATTTGTAAAAATAATAAAGTGGATACAAATAAATAAAGCAATTAAATAAGTATCTAAAAACCTGGAAGACAGATTCTGTATGTAACTGATGTTCCCAAATCAGAAGTCTATTATTTTTGATAGCTCACTTTTGCAGTTTAGCTAACAGTCAATATTTCAAGATGGGACTGTGTATTAATAAAAATTGCCTAGAAATCATACAAATAAATGAATACTATCATTCATTCATTCTTGAATTTCCAGGTCTGTCCATGAACTTGGGTGGTACTGCAAAATTAAAACAAAACAATCATAGAAATAAAAACACTGATCATTCAAGTAGCAAAACTTACATGGCTCACAATTTCTAGCATCCCACCCTTAACCCAAAGCCTGCAAGAAGGCCTTTTTAAAAAGAGCATTTAAAGATGAACAAGGTGGGAGCCATGGGGATCTTTGCAGGGGATATTATTTCAAAGGGCAGGTCCCTCTGTCTCTCCTGACAATGTCTGTCATCTGTGATCCACTAGTTAACACAACTTAATTGAATGGACCTGCTGTTAATCTACACAATTGGAATAAGCATTGCAGGAAGACATTAGAGGGGACAGGGTAGTCTTCAGACACCTAGTTCATATGCTATGTAGACAGGTCCCTTGGCTTTACAGGTAATGATCAGCACCTGTACATTAACAACTCTTGCATTCCTCTGACAAGAATACTTCTGCATTCCTCTACAGATCCTTGAAAATTAGAAGCCTTTGGCTCAACTTCTTCCCTACAACCAATGCTAATTCGAATCAACCATGGAGAAAAAAGAACACCATAAAACTGTGCCCTCCATTCCCACTCCCTGCAACCTGCCAAGAATGATACCATGTTGTTACATCAAGGAAGACAAAGATGATAGCACATCAAGTGTAACTAATGCTGTCTTTCTGCTGGGTCCCAATCTGAAACCTAACTGAAAAGAATCCAGATAATCCACTTCCTCCAGGAATGTCTGTAACCACAAGCCAATCACATTTTGAAGTGAGTTAGGCCATGTTCAGTTGCAATCCCAGTACTGTACAAGTAGACCTCGACTTACGACTGCAATTGAGCCCAAAATTTATGTTGTTAAGTGAGACATTTGTTAAGTAAGTTTTGCCCCATTTTATGACCTTTCTAGCCACAATTGTTAAGTGAATCATTGCAGTTGTTAAGTCAGTAACATGGCTGTTAAGTGAATCTGGCTTCCCCATTGGCTTGTCAGAAGTTCACAAAAAGTGATCACATGACCCCAGGACACTGCAGCCATCATAAATATGAACCAGTTGCCAAGTATCTGAATTTTGATCATGTGACAATGGGGATGCGCCAAGTGTCATGTGAACAATGGTCATAAGTCACTTTTTCAATGCCGCTGTAACTTTGAACGGTCACTAAATGAACTGTTGTAAGTTGAGGACTACCTGTATTATATCCATTCATTATAACTTCATATAAGATTCAGACACACAAATCAGACTAGAGGTTGCTACAGAGACAGACTGATGTCAACCATTCTTCTTTTGAGTTTCACCACTCTGAAATTGTTGCTCTGTTGATTGCTAAACCTAGCAACAAGAATTTGGGAAGGGGTGTGTGTGTCCCTCTTATAATTCTTTCACATCTTCTCTGTCAAAAAAAGGACCACACCAAAAGACAGCTTCACTTAAAGATTGGGGGGAAAAATAATACTTACCAGCTCCAAAGATGTCATTGACAGTAATTAATATTTTTTCATTTGATAAGGTTACAATTTTCTCATCCGCTTTTTTTTCATTGCTAACATTAATTAAGGCATCAGTGATGTCTCTGAGAACATTCTAAAGGAAGCAAACAAAATATAGGATGCTATTTTCATCTAAGGATTTCACGCTGTACACTCTACTCTGTAAGCTGTAATTTGTTTAATTCTATATTGAGATAATTTACTTTATTTTTCCTGTAAGCCAAGTGTAGGCCTTTAGAATGTACTAAGAGAAATTCTTTTGGGAAATATATATATATATATAAATTAATCAAGAGCCATGAAGAGTTGCAGGCTAAGAAAAAGCAAGCTAAGAACATAGAAATAGTTCTTGCTTACTGACAACAGCACTAAACAAGGAGATTTATGACCGGTCCTTGTAGTTGCAGCCATTACAGTGTCCTCATAGTCACATATCACTATTTGGGCACTGGAGACTAGGTTGCAATTACAATGATCCCATGATCCTATGATCACCATTTGCAGCCTTCACTACTGGTTTCTGACAAGCAAAGTCAACAGAGAAATCAACAGGACACAGGATTTGGTTAATGATGGCAACCACAATTTCCATCATAAGACACTGCAGTCACATGACATTGCACTTTGTGATTGCATTGCCTAGCAACAGAGTTGCGTGTCTCAATTACTGTAGCTACCACGTTTCCCCGAAAGTAAGGCCTACACCAACAATAAGCCCTAGCTTGATTTGGAGGGGGGCTAATATAAGCCCTATCCCAAAAATAAGTCCTAGTTTTGGGGCGAGGCAAACACCTAAAAATCAGGCTAGGGCGGGGGTGTAAAGCTGTCTACCTGCCCCACACCCACTTATCTTGTAGCCAGGCCTTTCCTTGCCGGCCCACTTCTTCTTCTGAGGCCTCTTCTGCAGCCAGGCCTGCATTTCTCAGGCATAGGGCTTTCCGGAAGGCCTGTGCAGCCAAGAACTGAGCAATGTATTGAATCCATAGCTCCGTACTTGGCTGCTTAGGCCTTTTGGAAAGGCCTGATTGCAAAATGCAGACCCGAATGCAGCTGCAGAACTTCGGCCCCAGAAGACGTGTACCAGCTGGGTGAGGCTGTCAATGCTGGACGTGAGGTAAGGCCTACCCCGAAAATAAGACCTGGTGCCTCTTTTGGAGGCAAAAAATAAAAATAAAATAAGACCCAGTCTTATTTTCGGTATGCAAGGACTACCTGTAGAATCTCTAAACATATGGTGGAAGTATAAGCAATACAGAACTCTTTCGGTTCCCACTGTTAAATGTTTACCTTATCATAAGTGACATAATGGTCTTCCACATGTTTTGCCACAAAGTTATTGAACTTTCCATAAAACGCGCGAGCAATCTTTGCAGCGGGAAGTGGAAGATAACGAAGGCACGGTATGAAGTCAGCTGGATTGAAGACACCCGAGGCTTTTATAAGATCGTGACTTATTTGGATCACACTCAGAAATTCTTCATCACTGTGGCTGTACCTCTTGCCAAAACAGAGGGCACAGACCACATTAGCCACAGTACAGGTTGTCACCGCAACGGGATCAAAGCTCCCTTTTTTGGAGAGGTCTAAAAAGGTCTTCACCAGTTCTGATGCCTCAGCGCAAACATGCTCTTCCAGAAGACAAGAGCAGGTGGAGGACTTGGCTTCAGATCTGGCCAGTGACCTTAATGCCTTGGCAGCAACCTTCTTCTGCAGCTTCCAACTCTCTCCAAACTTCACCGAAAATGATAAGCTCTCGCCATTGGCAAAAAAAGAAAAAGTGTGCATATCGGGTCGGCCAGCAAAACTTTCTCCATCTCTCAGCAGGACGTGTCTGACAGCATCCAGGCCATTAACAACCACAACAGGAACCATTCCAAGCTGTATCTGAAACACATCTCCATATTTCTTCTTCATCTGATTGAAGAAAATGTAAGGATGATCTCCAAGCTGGAGAAGATTCCCCAAAATAGGAAGTGACCAAGGTCCTGGTGGGAATGGTTGCTTGTTCTTTGTTAACATTCGTACATAAATGAATATTGACACCACAGTACATAAAGCAATCATCGCCCATGAAAAGGAAACTTGCTCAATTGCAAAACTCATTTTCAGAAAGAATCTGCAAAGGAAAATGCCAGGAATTGAATAAGCCATTGCTTAATTCTGGTTTTGCACAAGTTATGGGAGCCTGCAAGTAATGTTGAAAACCACAGTGGATGGTTTTATAGCTTACATTAAATCCACAATAAAAAAAACACTTAGTCCAATGTGGCAACTCAACATTTGACATTAGAGGGCAAGCAAGGTTAACTCCTTGCAAAACAAAATTTTGACCAGGATAGGCAAACAAGGTAGAAGGACATTAACGTCAAGAAGAATTAATCAAAGGTGTCTACCTAAACATTACAAAGTTTCAGTAATGGCAAAAAGAGAACATACAGCAACTATTTGAAGGGAAACATAGAGTAATTTTATTTTATTTTATTTTTGCAACTAAAACACAACTTGCAATTGGATTTCAATTTAATCTGCATTTTCAAGGTGTCTTGAAGACTATGAACTGCAACTTCTACAAGAACTGCTTGCACAAATGGCGTACTTTGAATTTATCCAAGCTTTAAATTTTTAAATGTTTGTGCCTCTAAAACTACAACTGTTTATTGGCATCATTCCTTTCCTCTGAAACAAAATTCCTGAAAGATATTTTTAGCTTTTTTTTCTGGGAAAAGGATCAGGAGTGGTTTTCAGACAGAAGAATTCTGGACAATGTCCTGCTTGCAAAAAACTTCACAACATAAACAATCATTTAAATTTCCATCTCATATACAAGCAGCAGGAAATCTCCCTTCTAAAAAGAGATGAAAGATGGAACTTGTAGAATTTACATCCACCAAAATGTTTTCCTGTCATGCTAAATATGAAAGAATGGAAATAAAGTTAGCCATTTTTATAAACCATGCTTATATTAAATTTTGAGGGGGGGCATGTTTGAAAGTGAAACAAATACATCATTTTCAAATGACTTTGCATTCGCTGTGCACTATCAATATTCGCAAGATTAAATTCAAGAGAGAAAAAGATGCATTTTTAAGCATGACTCAAGCTATTGCCATTACAAATATTTCTTGACTGCACATCAGAACAGGACATGAGTTTTGTTTTCCTTTCTTCCAATTTTTTTTTTTATTATTGCAAAACCAAACTTCATTACTTTCATTACTATTACATGTAGGCACAACATATCTCTAAGGACTGAAGAAGCTAAGTTGGATAAGTTTGGTTTCAAACCAAAGAGAGAGAAAAAAATCTGGTTACCATAACTCAATTTCCAATTATCTCTGAGGTCAATATATTTTCCAAAACACGATTTTAAAATGAAACAGTGCTAGAACTTAGAATGCGTGTAGCTGGTCCTCGTCCAGAAGACTTCTTCCAGTTCCAGCCCTTCCACAAGTTCGTAGCTCAATCTTTCTCAGGTAACAAAAAGAAAGCTCTACCTAGTCCTTTTTTCATCCTCCTGATAAAAGGCGAATCAAAGGAAGCCCAACTATCCCTTCTGCCAAAAACTGAACGTTTGAAACTTGGAAGAAGGGAAGGAGACTGGTGCGCCTGCCATCATCTGGGCAAATTGCAAATCTCGAGGCGTGAAAGAAATTCTCCCTCTCCGGCCCCAACGCCTTTCGGTCGTATTTATCGAAATAAATCTTTCTCCGTCCCCTTTTTGATTGCCTTTCCTACCGACGAACGGTTCAATCCGGAGTCAAAAACCTGGCGGGACACCGAGCAGAAGCACCCAGCCAGGAAAAAAAAAAAAAAACCCACGCGGGCCCCGAAGAGCCCCGAGCCCGCCCTGCCCGAGGACGCCATCCCCACACTCACGCGTCTCAAGACGCAGCGGGTCCGCCACCGATTGCGATTGCTGCCTCTCTCGAGGTTGCGCGATCGCCCCGCTTCTCTCGCCCCCGCGGCGAGGACCCGTTGTCCTTGCGCGACGCTTCCCGCGTGGGACTCTGCAGGCGCCGCCACAAAACGACCCACCGGCGCCCCGTCGACTGTCGCTTTGCCGTCCCCATCCGTTAGTGCAGGGTTCTGCAACCTTGACAACTTTAAGACTTTGGACTTCAACTCCCAGTCAGCTATGCTGACTGAGGAATTCTAGGAGCTGAAGTCCACAAGTTGTCAAGGTTGCAGAACCCTGCATTAGTGTGATTGCTGACTGGGCCCAGCCCGACTCCGGGAAAAGTCCATCCTTGTGCAGCAGTCGAAGAGATGAGGCTGGGATTGGTTGCCGGGATGGATGATGGTATTCCTGAGCGCGTGGAGATGGATGATGGGCTAGGTCTTCTGGTAGGCTTCACGTGGTCTGTACGTAGGTTAGACGGGGAAGTCCAGAAACATCCTGAAATCACTTATGCTTATGTGGAGGAAAAAAT